AAAAAAAAAAAAAAAAAAAAACTATCGTAAAGAGCTAGTTTTATTATAAAGAAATATAGGTTCCATATCGCACAAGAGTCATTGTTGAACCAAAAACTGAGGGGAAAAAACAACTAAAAATGTTTCTTATTGTACAAAATGGAGTCTGAAAATTTCAAGGGCATTTAGGTCCTCCTTCTTGTGTCTTCCAATCTTTGTAACATGAACAACAATCTTTTTGTCCAAAAGTACCAGGTGGAACGCATTGACACCGATTACAACACTTGTTACAGAATAATAAACAATTGTTCTTGTGAGATGTATTTGAGCATCGATAATTACATGCACTCGAACACTCTACAAAAATAGAAAATAAAAGGTCATCTACTTTCTTGAAGTATAGTTAATGAATTGACTGATTAAAGAAATGTTAGAAAAGAAGTATAGTTAATGAATTGATTGATTAAAGAAATGTTGAAAAGTGCTTACGATCCGTAGGAACTGGGCAAGTATTTGGACCAATCGGCGGTTTTCCTACAAGTGAAGCGTCAAAACGTCGATATGCCTGTTTATTCAACAAATTAAAGATGAAAAAGAAATACTTATCAAATCATTGTTTAAACAATAGTTTAAGCCGAATTATAGCCTGTTTGACCAAGTTTTTTTAAAAAAAATTGAGGTGTTTGGTCATGCTTTTAGAAGGAAAAAAAGTATTTTTGAGGAGAAGCAGAAACAGTTTTTGAGAAACAAAAAAATATAACTTCTCTCTAAAAGTATTTTTCTCAGAAACACTTTTGAGAAAAATATACTTAGAAACAGTTTTCAACAGCTTGGCCAAACACTAATTACTATTCAAAAGTACTTTTTAAATTAATTAACCAAATACAAATCGATTCTCACCAAAAGTACTTTTTTGAAAAGTACTTCTCAAAATAAACAGATTTTATCAGCTTGGCCAAACAGACTATTTAGTCGTGTTAGTATGTTTCAAATATTGAATGCTCAAAAGCAAAAAATAAATAAAAATTCAAAATACTAAAAATATTCACTCACGAGGGAAACTTCAATGAAACATAATGAGGCAACCAAAGAGAGAAGCAAAGTAGCTTGAGATCTTTTTGAAATAGCCATACTTGAAGTATATTGTGTTTTGACGTTACTTTTTTGTGGTAGAGAACCTCCTACTTATATATGCGTGGTCCTTAGTTTACACAATATGGTAAGATTGATAATGTAATAAAACAGAAATTAATACGTTATTATAGATTGATAATTCCAAAGTCCAAACTTAAATAATTAAAATGTTATTATAGGTCAAACTATACTAACAATGTTAAAAATCTTTCTACTATCGGTGTAAAATCTATGGTAAGATTAGCATCGGCTCATGTATGGTAAGAACAGATCAACCGCAGTTCCTGCCTAAAATTTTCACTGTAAAAGATTTGCATAAATTGAAGTTTTCCTTAACGACTGTCTTGCCAATATTAGTGGCAGTATTCAAGAGATTAATATATGTTTTCCGCCTATCAATGCATTGAAATATCAATTACAAGATCCCAAAATCACCGCCAATATGTTGTTTTTGATAAATTTCCATTTTGAGATCCGAAAATCCTTTTCTTTGTGTCATTCATTAATTAAGAGACCAAAAAGAAATTTCTACTTTAGAGTAAAACTGTCGTTTCGAGAAATAGAATGGGTCTAGGTACGTAGGGGTGTTCATAAAAACCCGAAAAACCGAGCCAAAACCGACCAAAAAAACTGATACTTTTTAGGTTTGGTTTGGTTTGGTTTTGGTTTTGAATTTTAAAAACCGATCAAATTTGGTTTGGTTTTGATTTAATAAAAAAATAACCGAAAAAATCGAACCAAACCGACTATAGAAGTAGGTATTTAAATTTATTATTACACCTATATATATGTATATTTTTATATAAAGTTTCTAAAATGTTATGGTACATATTAGTCGTTTATATTTTTAGTCTAATTTTTTGCTATTATAATAATCTAATTCTTTGCCTTTACATTCTAGTTTGATTGGTAGTTTTCTTTTGCTAAGTATAAGAATTTATTTCATGTTAAAAATAATTAATTTTTAATTGTACTTAAATTATTCATCACTAGTTGATTCAATTATCATCAATATATCTTGGTAAATGATAAATTTCTCAAAGAGCAATTGGTTTGATAGTGTTACGTTGAAAATGTAATCTCCGGAATATGTGTTTGGTAGTGTATATCTCATATTTAAGAAAAAAATCGATAAATAACCGAAAAACCGACAAAAATCTAATCGATAAAAAACCGACTTAATTGGTTTGATTTGGTTTCAATATTTGAAGAACCGACTTAGTTGATTTGGTTTCTTTTTAGGGAAAAACCGAACCAAACCGAATCATCAACACCCCTACAGGTACGATGAGATGGTCAAACTGGAAGGGTTAATTTTTTTTAAGGGTAAGGTAATAACTCCACTAGTACGTGTTGCATTGTTATTTGTTAAAGAATGGAATTCTCTTGTATTCTAAAAAATAGTAGTTTGCAAATTGCACCTAAAAGGTGATATGCCTTGGTTTAAAAGTGAAAATATGTTATTATTATTACTCTCTGTTTCGGTTTATGTAAACCTATTTTCTTTTTGATCCGTTCCAAAAAAAATGTCCCCTTTATAAATTTGGTAAGAATTTAGCTTAAACTTAAAATTCTACCCTTAATGAAAAACTTTATAACCACACAAATACTCTGGGTCCCTTTTTGACTTATTTAGGACCACAAATTCCAAAAGTCTTCATTTTTTCTTAAACTCCGTGTCCAGTTAAATATGTTCATATAAATTGAAAATAATACACAGGGTTAGGGGGATGGAAAATGGGGGAGGGATTACAAGGTGGGAATCGAACTCTCACTGTAAATATGTTATGACATCATTCGGGTTGTTTTTTTTCTTTTTTTGGACATTGTCGTTCGAGTTGATTAAGAGGAAAAATATGTAAGTAACGTGATAAAGAATGATGCTAGAATAGTTTGTCATAAATAGCAGAGATATGTAAATATTAGTCATTGCGACAGGGCAATAAGAACAAATTTATGAATTGAATATAAGGATATTAAGCCATAGTCAAAAGGGAGATGATCCAATTATGATGAGCCACAGGAAAGATTCATCCAATCCATTTAAATTGAGATTTGAGAGGGTTGAGATTGAGCAGACAGCATGTACTTTGTTTTTTTAAAAATGGAAACCAAACAAACATTACACATTATACTACCCCATCTTTGTATAAACAATTTACAATAATTATACACCAAAGCAAAGCAAATTCCAAGAGAATTATAGGTTCAAACATGTCTGCTTTATATTTTTGGAAAATTCTTTCTTAGGTTAGCTGTGTTAGGCCAAACACAATTGAGTCCACAAAACAGGATTTTTTAATTTACGAGGGGGGAGAATCCGTAGTTTTAGAAGATTTTGTTCCCATACAACATGCCATAGATTTCTGAAAAATGGATTCCATATTCCACCAAACCTTCTTTGTCGACCCATACTTCAGACCCAAGATCAAGCATCAAAGCTGCTCATAACAACGAACCAAACCAGCTTGACAAGTTGACAAGCTACCACTATGCGCGGGGTCCGGGAAAGACCAGACTACAAGAGTCTATTGTACGCAATGTTACGCTTCCACAGCTTGAACCGATGACCTCCTGGTCACATGGCAACTTTACCAGCTACGTCAAAGCTCCTCTTCGCATAAAAAGATAAATAACGAAATAAAAAACCAGTCACATTGTTAACAAGGTCCATAGACTAGCCATAGATGCATGTGTAACGACGACTTACATTGCATTGGGATTATGCTTACGTTGCCCGAGGATAAGTATCCAAAAAATCAATTGGCCAAATTGATTAGGCAAGACCTCTTTAAGCATTTGAGCATTAAGAATTTGCTAACTTACCAAAATAGATAAGTCATCCATCTACTAACCCAATATACATGGAGATTTCAAAATCATGGGAGAGTGCTCCACTTGCAAGTCTCCTCCCCATGTTCTCCCTAATAAAGATCCATTCACAAATCAACTTATATGCTAAAGTGCCCAAAACAATACCCCGAAACTGCTGGAGCAATCCCAAGCAAAAGTATGCCAAAAACACATTTTAAGATCACCCTTTAGTTCTCATGATTGTAATGCTGCCCCTTCCGCCCTCTATGTTAATTTTTGTCTTGCCAATGACAGGCTTCCCAGAAAAAGCTGATGTGGGATAAGAAGGTGGATCTTGATTGCTTTGCTTCGACTTAGATGGTGGTGGAGTGTGTATCTTTTTGTTAATCTCTTTTAAGGTCACATCTCCTTGAACACTGCAGGGTTTGATAAAGCCGAATGGGTACACTACAGAAGATGCACCTTTTTTGGGAGGTTGCATGTATGAATTCCTACCTGAGTACATAGTCATCAGTCATCAGTTAAAAATAGGAGCTCAGTTGCAGCAAGTTTTCCATGTGTTTTCATGCAATATAACTGAAGCGAAAACGTAAACACTGAAAAGCGCACACTACTGACAATATCATAACAAGGGGATTTTTCACAATGTAATGATTTTTTGGCTATTTGAGTCTAAGAGAGTATGATTTAATAAGTGTAACCATGAATAAGTACCCAGTTTAATCAAAGATAAAGTACTAACCTTTGAAAATAATGTTTCCACAAGTACGAACAGGACTACTTTTAACCATAGTTGTCTCGCGTTCTGGCGAGGAATTAATAACCTCTGCAACAGATAAGCTGCCATCAATCAAATATTAAACACGAATAACATGAAAAGGAAGAGAAGAACACCAGCACATAATAAAGTATGTAGAAGAGACAGAGACCAGAAAGAAAGAAGAAAGGAAGAAAGAAAGAAAGAGAGAACATCCAAGGGAAAGAGAGATTCTCTACCTATTATGTCAGCTTGAACATCAGGTACTCCAGATGTATTCCTGTTAAACAAAGTGAGTTAGAGCACAGAGCATAATTACAAGTCCTTACAAGCACGGAAGGCTAAAGATTAAATTTACATATCCTCGGAACCAAGCTGCAACTCAGGATCATTAAAGCAATCGGTAAGCCATTCTTCAGAAGACTCATCCAAACCTTCATGAGCCGAAGATGTTGCACCATCTAGAAAAACATATTCCGTCAACAGGAAATTCAAAAAATTTAAGCAGATATAGGTTTAGAATAATTTTAAGCAGTCCTGACCTGCATATTCAGATAGCCAGTCTGAGACCTCGCATATAGCTTCTTCGAAATATGCATCCCTCTCCTGCATTAACCAACTTCCTTGTAGGTTACTTTTATAAAAATTGTTTCTACCTCAAATACTTTTTCCGCCTTATGTAGTGTCATAAATATGTAATGAAGCAGATTTTAAAAGGTGCATTGTCACATGAGGTTCCTTAGATGAACCAAATTCCACTACTGATCTGTTGGCTTAACAGCACTCTTAACTTGGTTTCACTTGTGGGAAACAGCACACACTATTAATGCTAAGGTATGATTAGTAATGTGCTTTGATAGACATCTCCTCGAAGCACAAGCCAAAAATGTAGTAGTAGTAACCTTTGATTTTAAGCAAGTTAATGGAATCTCTTCATTTGAACCAGAAACATCCAGGATCTCAGCGTCAAATTGCAGCATTCGGCGTCTTTTTACCACTTTAGCAGGTTCTCTGCACTGCTCCAATTCCTTGGTTGTAACATCTGGAGCAAACCACTTAGATCAGGTTAAGACGCTTAAACTGTGCTGAGTACTAGAAGATAGAAATAACTGTTATATTAAAATCCTTTACCCTTGACATTGAAAGTCAAGTCACCACAGTCCTTAACTGGAGTGGTTTCATCATCAAACATGTAGGAAAGATCTTCCTTGTTTTCAGTTACACCAGTCCATAAACATTCCGATACGTCTGCTTGAGGCTGCAGCCCTGTTTAACACAGATGACTCGACTCAACTATCTTTCTCACTTAAAATTACTAGAGACAGTAGCTAAACTTACCAAAGTTCTCACGGTCTTCAAGAAAAGTTTCCCCACATTGCCAATCCCATATCTCGCCGCTATAGTTTCATCAAAGAAAACAATCAATCCATTCAATTCTAGACTCGTTTTATAACAAAAGTAGATGTTCGGACTACCTCTCAACATGTAAAATGTTTCACTTGAACAGATCTCATTTTATGATGATACAAGTATTATCCTTTAAATATATTGATAGTGTCGAAAATTTAGAAAAGTCGACACAGAAATGCAGAAAATGCTTGAGACATGATCACCTATAATAGACACAGCAGAAGCATGAAATTCGAGTCACTAGAACAAATTATAGGTACACAGCGCCATTATACAATACAATATATAGACAGGCAGAACTGCAATAAAATTTAAGGAGAAATGATAAAAGACCACTTGTATCTACCATTATTAATCACCCAATGGAAACACATTACAAAATAAATGGTAATAGGAACATCACCTAATAAAATAAAGACAATTAATAACGGATATCAGAAATTAATACTCCTAAGAGAGTGGCATTTGTTTTGCAAACTCATTATAAACTTCAAACAAACGCCTCTTATAGTACTAATAAAAGAAGAAAACATTATGCGAGTGTTTGTGTGTAATTTAACCCGAACTGTCGCCTTTTCACACTATGCCATTATGATTAAAGTGAAAATACAAACTCCGGCAATTCAATTTCCAGCATTTTCACTACTAACAAAGTTGAACTAAAGAACTGAACCATCAATCTAAGCAAAGATAAGAGAAACAATAATAAACCCAATATATCATTAAAAAAAACACGAAAATTGGAAGAAAAAAAAAATTTACAACGACGTACTCAAAAAGCTACCTGTTCGTATCGAAATCCATGGGCAGATCAGGCATCGCCATTAACCGCTCAACTGTTTTACTCTTAAAAATAGCCGGCAGAGAAGATCAACAGAAAAAGGGTAAAGAGAGTAAATGAGAAAATGATAGGTGCTATACTTACTGATATATTGAAGAAAGTGCCCGACCAGGGAATTGGTCTGTACTCTATATTTAGATAACCACAAAAAGGAAAAAAAAAGAAAAAATCTCCGTTCCCGTTGGCGTACAGTTTTTTGAGTGGGTGCGCTATTTTATTGCGATTTATGTAACACTGGTCTTTTGCTAGTCTTCTTATATAAATTGAAGAAGTTTCCTCCATTACAGCGAGAGAGTATATAGTGGCCCTCAAAGTCCGTTATTTTCTGGGACCCACTACTTTCTGTCTCCAACATACTTCCCCATTCTTCGTTTTGTTTTGCGTGACTTCTTTTAGTTAATGTGGTCCTTCTAAGTTTTAAGGTATTTCCATTGTCGTTCTTATTAAAATTATTTTGTTATTGTTATATAATATAGTAGTACTTGGGAGTCGTTTGGTACATAAGATAAGGATAATAATTTCGAGATAAAATTTGAAATTGTATTCAACTCTCTTGGGATATAAGGTCAAACTGTATATAGCAAAAGTATAGGGTGCACAAATTAGTTAAGAGTGGTTAGTTTGTTAAAGTAATTAATTGACAGTTGTACAATAATTGTCATTTAGTTAGTGGAGAAGCCACTATATAGCATTGTAATGAACGGAGGTCTCACAGACTTAAGGAATACAATTTCGATCTTCTTTCTTCTCCATCCTTAATCTTCTTCCTCACAAATCTAATATGGTATCAGAGCGGGAGTTGCTGGGACTGTATTTCCGATCTAATTCCGGCGAGATTCAATTTTTCCGACAGAAATACATATGCGAAATACAAATTTGAGAAATTATTCAATTTTGAGCTCAATTTCAAGCGGCCATGGCAGACAACGAAGTTAGCTCACTCGATCATAATCATCCGTTATTTTTGCAAGCTTCAGACGCTCCAGGACTAGTCTTAATTCCGCTCAAGCCCATAGGCCCAGAAAATTACGCACTGTGGAGCAGGGCGATGAAATTGGCACTCCGGGGAAAGAGCAAGCTTGGATTTGTGGATGGATCTTGTGTAAAAAGTATGTATAAAGGTGAATTAGCAGACCAATGGGAGAAATGTAATGCAATTGTTCTATCATGGATTGGTAGTACTGTTTCAAATGAATTAATGCCTAGCATCGTATATGCATCGAATGCAAAAAAAAGGTATGGGCTGATTTTCAGGAAAGATTTGATAAGTCAAATTTAACAAGGATCTATCATCTTTGGACTGTTATTGCGATTTTGAGACAAGGAACAGACTCGGTCACTAGCTATTATTCGAAAATGAAGGATCTATGGGATGAACTAGATGTCATAACACCTTTGGCTTCGTGTGACTGTGAGGAGTCTAGGCCTTCAGTGGAGCTTTTGAAAAATATTCGCCTACTACAGTTCCTTATGGGATTGAACGAGAGTTATAGTAACATTCAAAGTAATGTCTTAGCCAAAAAACCTGTGATCACAGTGAATGAAGCCTATGCAATAGTTACACAAGAAGAAAGTCAAAGAACTCTAGGAGTCACAGACACATTGAAGGATCCTCTTACAATGTTGGCTGGTAAAGGTCATGAGTTTAAACCTAAGAGGCCAGGATTAATCTGTGATTATTGTGGCTACAAAGGACATCTAAAGGAAAATTGCTACAAGATAGTGGGGTATCCACCGGATTTCAAGAGTAAGAAGAAAGGGCAAAACTCAGGAAGCGGGACCTATGTGAACAATGCAACAAGTGAAGAGAAACATGTGCTTATGCTGCCAACACAAAGAAATTTCTTCACTGGGGATCAATATAAACAACTGGTAAATTTGTTGCAGAAGACTACCACAAATGAATGTTCCACTAATACTGCAAGTATCATTACTTTAATGACAAATGCAATTGCAAGTGATCATGTTTGGATAGTGGATTCAGGTGCTACTCACCATGTGACACATTGTAAGAATGCTCTAAATAATCTTAGAAAAGCAGATCATAAAGCAGATGGAGTACAGCTGCCTACAGGCAGTAGAGCAGAAATTATACATACACGAGATGCAGTAGTTTTAGGGAATAAAATTATTGAAGGAGTATTGTATGTGCCAGATTTTAAATTCAACTTATTGTCAGTGTCAAAGCTCACTAGACAATTATGTTGCTCAGTTAGGTTTTATCCTGATTTCTGTATATTTCAGGGGCTTTACAATGGCAAGGTGATGGGAATTGGTAGAGAAAACAATGGATTATATCTGATAAAAGAAAATTTACCAACAACAACAATTAGTTTATTGAAGGAACATGGAAAAACAACATTGTATTTGAGGCTAGGCCATACATCAACAAAATCTATGCAACATATTTCAGAACTAAAGAATAAGATACAAGCTGGAGAGCAGGACAACTGTGAAGTGTGTCCTTTGGCAAGGCAATATCGACTACAGTTTCCACTTAGTAGCACTAGATCAAGTAGTATTTTCAACTCATACACATGGATGTTTGGGGATCTCATAAGGTACCTTGATATGACATGAAGCTTTATTTTGTTACAATAGTAGATGACTACAACAAGTTTTACTTGGGTGTCCTTAATACAGTCTAAATGTGAAGTAGTTGTTGTAATAAAAAACTTTATTGTAATGATAAATACTCAGTTTGAAGCTACTATGAAGATTGTTAGATCAGATAATGGTACTGAGTTCTTCAACTCTCAATGCGATACTTTATTTGCTTCTCTAGGAATCATACACAAAAGTTGTTACCCATACACCCCCACAACAAAATGAGGTAGTTGAACGAAAACATAGGTATATACTGGAGGTTGCAAGAGCCTTGAAATTTCAAAGCTTGATTCCTAGGAGATTCTGGGGTGATTATGTAAGAACTGCAGTATACTTGATAAAACAAACTGCCCACTAGTATTTTGCAAGGAAAATCCTCTTATGAGCTATTGTTTGGAAAGCCAGCCAAAATAGATCACTTAAGGGAGTTTGGTTGCTTATGTTATGCAAGTAACCTGCCTAAAGGTGATAAGTTCACAGCTAGAGCAAAAAGGGTTGTCCTTGTTGGATACTCAGAAACACAAAAGAGTTATAGGCTGTATGATTTGGAGAATAAAAGGGTATTTGTTAGCAGAGATATGGTATTTAAAGAGCATGTCTTTCCTTTTGAGAAAACTACTGATTAAGACTGTACAGAGGATCTATTTACTTCTCAACCTTCAGTTGTGGAAATAGATAGACACCAATCACATGCACACGTAATTCCAACCACAACCCAAAATATGCAAATGCCAGTTGCTGAAAACATTACTAAAGAAGTGGAGAATGCTAATATGGACTCAGTCACAGATCATGCAGAGTCTGGTGAAGACCATGGGACTGCAGCTAATATGAACTCAGTCACAGATCATGCAGAGTCTGGGGAAGACCATGAGGCTGCAACTGATGCCCCAATAAGTGAGAATCTAATCCATGATATCCTTGAACCAGAAGTTGAGACAACAATAGAAGAAGCAGGAACAGAAGAAGTGCACTCACAACCAGCATCTATAGAAGTAGAGACTAAGAAGTCTAGTCGACAAGGAAGGCCTTCTGTTTGGCTTAAGTATTACATCACCACTGCCAAGAAACACACTAACACTGTGTATTCAATCTCTAATGCTCTCTCTTACGATCATCTATCCCCTGCATACCAGTCATATCTCAATGTTTTTTCAGTTTTAACTGAACCACAGTCCTTTAAGGAAGCTGTAAATGATCCAAGATGGATACAAGTCATGGACCAAGAAATTAAAGCACTTGAAGAGAACCATACTTGGGAAGTGGTAGATTTACCAGAAGGGAAGAAACCAATTGGTTTTAAATGGGTGTTTGAGATCAAATATAAATCAACTGCAAAGGGATACACCCAACAAGAAGGGTTGGACTATCATGAGACATTCTCACTAGTTGCCAAAATGGTAACTGTGAGAACTGTTCTGAGTATAGCAGCCTCCAAGGGGTGGATCCTCTATCAAATGAATGTCAATAATGCATTCCTACAAGGGGATATTTATGAAGAAGTGTACATGGTCTTGACACAGGGTTTCCAACGATAGGGGAAGAACAAAGCTTACAGACTATTGAAATCACTCTATGGCCTGAAACATACTCCAAGACAGTGGAACATTAAGCTCACAGATGCCTTAGTGGGAGCAGGGTATCAGCAGAGTGCATATGATCATTCTCTATTCACCAAGCAGACAACACATGATATTGTGATTATATTGGTGTATGTTGGTGATGTCTTGATCACTGGTAGTGATGCTTCCCTAGTGGAAGAGGCCAAGAGCACATTGTATAATAGGTTTAAGGTCAGAGATTTGGGTGAGCTCAGATAACTTTTTAGGCATTGAAGTGATGAGATCAGATAAGGGGGTGTTATTGAACCAGAGAAAGTATGCACTGGAAATCTGGAATTAATATCCACCACAGGACTGGATGCTGCCAAACCTGCATCCACTCCTATTGAACTCAATTAGAAACTAACCACTACGGAGTATGATAAACATGTTGGGTACAATGGTGATGAAGAGCTGTAACATGTGGGCAATTATCAAAGGTTGGTAGGCCAGTTACTCTACTTGACCATTACACGACCTGACATTTGCTTTGACGTGCAAGTTTTGAGTCAATTCATGCAGCATCCCAAGCAATCACACCTAACTGTTGCACTTTGAGTGGTCAAATACATTAAAGGTTCACCTGGCCTTGGTGTCTTTCTCAAGAGGGGTCCTATTACTCACCTTTCTGCCTTCTGTGATTTAGATTGGGCAGCATGTCTAAACACGCGAAGGTCGATCACTGGATACGTTGTCAAGCTAGGGGATTCTTTGTTGTCCTAAAAGTCAAAAAAGCAGCAGACAGTGAGTTAAAGCTCAACTGAAGCTGAATATAGAAGCTTCACAACAGTAGCAACTAAGGTTACTTGGCTAGTTGGATTGTTGCAAGAGTTGAACATTGAGATAGATCAGCCTATTGATCTATACTGTGATAGCAAAGCTGCACTTCAAATAGCGACAAATCCTATTTTTTCATGAAATGACAAAGCACATCGAGATAGATTGTTATTTTGTTCGAGAGAAGATTAAGAATGGCTTGCTCTCTCCTCATCACATTTCAACCAAACTCCAGTTGATTGATCTTATGACAAAAGGTCTTGATGTTTCTCAGTACTCCTTCCTTCTTTCCAAGCTCGGAGTGTTCAATGCTTTCCACCCCCCAGCTTAAGGGGGAGTCTTGGGATATAGGGTCAAAGTGTATATAACAAAAGTATAGGGTGTGCAAATTAGCTAAGAGTGGTTAGTTTGTTAAAGTAGTTAATTGACAGTTGTACAATAGCTGTCATTTAGTTAGTGGAGAAGCCCCTATATAGCATTGTAATGAACAGAGGTCTCACAGACTCGAGGAATACAACTTCGATCTTCTTTCTTCTCCATTCTTAATCTTCTTCCTCACAAATCTAACAATCTCATATTTGATTATAGATAATAGCTAATCCCGTGATAGATTTTACACTAGAAGGTGAGATAGTTAATCTTATGGATATTCCATATTGTACCAAATGGCCATTGAATTTGTTAAGGTTGAACACGTTTAGTTTAGTTGCCAAAAGTCCAAATGAATACGAGCAGATTAAAGAAATTGCACGTACAAAATGCGTGACTAAGAGGAAGAAGTGATGGTTATGATAAATGTGAGGTGCAATTTATAATGATTAGGTTCTTTAGCTATACATCAACAATGACGAACCTAGTGTAATGCCATAAGTGAGGTCTAGAGAGGATAGTGTGTACTTTACCCTCACCTAAAAGGTAGAGAGGTCCCCGTTAGGTTCTTTAGCTATAGATTGTCTATTGATGTTAACTTTTCTTTGTTTTGTGAAGATTTATTAGTTGAACCAGAAGTGCTAAGGATTAGCAAATTTAAAGGAACATTTGTATCAAAGGTAATATTTCAAGGACGAAATATAGATATATCCTCAAACTTAACGGGGCCATTTTGTTAAAAACACTGTTTTCCGTGATCCTCTATTTAAATATCCTTGATAAAATAATATTATCACTCAGTAGAGTATGAAGCACGACTTCCAATTTTATCCACAAAAGGAAAAAAGAAGAAAAAGTAATTAAGTATGTGTATGAAGTACAAGAGTGATTTATCTAATATTATTAAAGTCTGAAGATAAATCTCCTACTTATTTTTTTCGAAATACCTAAATATTGTTTTAAAATGTACATAAATTAAGAAAAGAATAGGGAATTCCCTTATACAAATTGCATCTTTCTTTTCTTTTTGGAGTCTGATCTGACAAGGTATTATCCTTTGTTTGTCTTGTCTAATTAACTTTATTTAATAGAAGGTGGACAGCATGAGTTGATATTCTGGCATGCTTTATTCTGTGCACAGAGCATAGCTCAAAATATTTATAGCAACAATAACATAGTATAATTCTACAAGTGTGGTGTCGGGAAGATAATACGTGCACAAACCTTACTTCTAACTTGTAAAAGTAGAAAAACTATTTTAGATAAACCATCGGCTCAAGAGAAGTATAATCATAATATTTTTTTGAAAAAATACAATAGTGGAGAAGCTTTAAAAAAAGAAAGTAGTAACAATATTAAGATAATAAGATTAATGAACACACAAAAAAAAAAAAACAGGTTATAACAGAAATATAAGAATAAGAAAATACGAGAATAATACGAATACTACTGGGATGGAAAAGAAAAATGGTTGACTACCTTCTAACCTTTTTACCCTAATTCTCGACATTCACACCTTCCTATCAAAGGTCATGTTCTTGCTCGATTGAAGATGTGTAACTCAAAATATTTATAATAAATAAATAAATAAAAAACTGTAAATGCTGGGGCCTTCATATGGATGATTTGTGCAGGATTCAAAGTCATGGTTGCAGCTTATCTGCCAGAACTTAAATGAGCTTTTAGCAGAGGCAAGCATGTAACTTGTGAAACTCATCAAATGTCTGTTTTGTGAATGAAACTATTCATTAATTTGTGTAAAATAAAACAACTGTTATCAAAACAGAAATGTAAATGTTAGTTTTAGAAAATCAAAGCATTTGCACTTTCCATAACAAAGCCCATTATTTTTCTTTTTCAAATTTGTCCCTATGGAATGGGCTGGTGAAAAAGTTCAGAAGAACTATCAAAAGGCAATGGTATTCAGAAGAATTAACTTAAATAGCCACTACTCAAGTGCTTAAACTTAAAATAGCCGGTAAATATATAATATATTTATAATTCATGTATAATCTTGTATAATTATTGTATAATATATATATATATATATATACATTGTGTAAATTCATGTAAATTCGACCGATTATTTGTGTAAAAATCCTTTTACATTACTACTGTCAATTTGGCTATTTGCAGATATGGCCTCAGTAATAGTCTCACAGATGATGCAGTGGTTACCAGAGTCTCTGCAAAGCCTTTTCGACCTCTAACTGAAAACTATCTGTTGTCATCCCAACAACCAAAAAAAGATCGAGAACTTTTTTCACAACTCAATAAATAAATTGATAAGCCAATAATATTTTGTGTTTCAAAATCTAATTAATCAATATGTTAATTAATCAATTATGATAAATTGGATCAGAATTTGCTTCCTTTTTTTTATGTATCTCAACACAACATCATTATTTCATACACCATTAAATATTGTGAGATGTGTAATATTGTCACTGAAAAAGCAAGCGTAAAAAAATTAAGGAAATAAGTTAAGTCGAACTGCTGTGATTATCCAGGAAAATCAATGTTTAAAAGTATGGAAGCTTATTTGATTTTATAAGGTGACAATAACTATTCATAGAATCAACCATAGAGATATAATAAGAACAGCAGTGCTTAAAATTGCTTACAATTTTCTATAAGACCGTACCTTCTCATGGTATGCCCTTTCAATGTAAACAACGAAATGGTTTACTTTGGTTTGGTTAAAATTGAACATGACAAAAATAATCACTCTAAGTCGAAGGAGTTGCAAAAAAAAGTGTTTCAAACTTCATAGTCAAATAATATTTACCATGTTAGGTTGTGCTGAATCGGTAAGTACTCATTTATCCTTAATCAAATGTCTCGTGTTCGAGCTTGAGGAATATAGTGATCATCTTCGGTAGGAACCGATTTATTTCCGAAGTGAAACTTCTAGATGTTAGAACATGCGCAGCGAAAGCAAGCATACAATACATGTATCACAAACATGTAAACTAGACAATGATATAATTACGGAGATTCGAAACACTCATCTCTCAAAAACGTTGCACATGTCCTCCATAGAGCAAGAATTCAGGGCTTCAATCTTCTGCTATGCTCCTTGTAAGACCTTGGACGAATTTATTTGTGTGGGCAAATAATACAACTCTGAAGAGTGAGTTATTAGATGAAACCAGTCTTCCTTTAATAGACCCGAAATTAAGCCACAATAGGGGCTAAAAAACGTGTAGGATTCTGCTAGTGCAAGTAGAATTCTACTCTAACTCAAAAGGATAACTTTTCTTCCAAGCCACTTTTTACCCAAGTCTATCCAGGTTTTTACTAGGTATAGCAGGGACCACAGAAACAATAAGAGGCTACCAATTATAGTATTAATTCGAAAATTTGGATGAATTAAATCCTACTATAATTAATTGCAGTTTATTCCACTAAAAAACTACAATTGAACTCCTCAATATGAATTTCAAAAATTCACTAACACTTATTTTAACTCCCCATGTTAAGATTACAAATATCAGTTAATTAAATTAAATAACTGATAATTTAATTTAATCAACTAATTAAATCTTTATAATTCCGCTTAAACTATTTCATGTGATGGATACAAAATTCACCGGCCGGATTTTCACATGAAAACTTATAAGCTTATATAAAGGGGTATCATCAAACTCAAAACCAAGTCACAAATTCTATCAACTAATTATTATTTCACAAATGTTATTCGTTATTGTCCAATTTATTGAGCATACACTAACTCTGAATAGAGTTGTACCTTTTGATAAATTAAAACAATAAACAAATCACATTGATCATAATAACTATATCAAGATTAGGAGTTTAAGCTCATTTAATGAATTAGAGAAAATGTTTCATATATATTCAGTAAAAATATCTTATCTCTACTTGGTCCGTTTAATATACACTAAATATACTAGCACAAGAAGTTGGAGCAAAACTACTCCCATAATCAAGATAAATTATACTTTAATCTTGTGCTATAATCATCAAGATATTTTGCCCAACAATATCTTCGATTGTGAATATAATTTATTAATTATGAGAACCGTCAATTTAATCTACTGTGCATGAGCTAAGACTCCATACACTAAATTGTCTACTACATAACTAAAGGACACACATGTAACAAATGATCTATTTAAAATGATACTTTATTGAATTGAATAAATCAAATAAATAATTATTTCACAAAGAATAAATTACAATACTATATCTAAACCATATGGTTAATAGTATATCCCAACAATCTCCCACTTAGACTCGTAACCATGCGTCTAAAACTCTAATGCCCATTCCTTCTACATGCTTTTCAAAAAACTTCTGTGGCAAGCTCTTTGTAAACGGGTCTGCCAAATTGTTCTCTGACGCAATCTTTAACACTTTTGCATCACCTCTCTGAGTTATGTCCCGAACTAAATGATATTTATGCTCAATATGCTTACTCCTTCTATGGCTTCTTGCTTCCTTCGAGTTTGCAACTCCACCACTATTGTCACAATAAAAGACAATTGGTGCTTGAACCGAAGGAACTACATTAAGCTCTTTTAGAAAGTTTCTGAGCCAAACAATCTCTTTAGCTGCCTTAGAGGCAGCCACATATTCGACTTCCATGGTGGAATCAACAATACATGATTGCTTGATACTCCTCCAACTTATGGCTCCACCCCCTAAGGTAAAAACATATCCTGAGGTAGATTTTCTAGAATCTTTATCTGACTGAAAATCTGAATCAGTATAACCAATGGGTGCAAGATCACCTGAGTGATAAACCAACATATAATCCCTTATCCTTTTCAGGTACTTGATTATATGTTTAACGACAATCCAGTATTCTCGTTCAGGATTAGATTGAAATATGCTAATCATGCCAACATCAAAGCAGATATCAGGTCTAGTACATAGCATAGCATACATGCGACTCCATACAATATAAGCATAAGGGACCACATCTTTTCTATCTCATCAGTCATTTTTGGGGACTGATCTTTTGATAGAGAGATTCCATGCCTAAAAGGAAGAAAACCTTTTGGAATCTTGCATGCTAAATCTGGTGAGAATAGTATCAATATAAAGTGCTTGGGATAATCCTAATATCCTTCGCTTGCGATCTCGCATAAGCTTGATCCCAAGGATATGTGCCGCTTGTCCCAAGTCTTTCATATCAAAACGCGAGGACAACCAGTCCTTTACTGAATTCAACATGCTCACATTATTTCCTATGAGCAAGATATCATCTACGCCAAAAATGTAACGTTATCTCCATCCCACTTCTTATAGACACCAGACTCGGTTTTACATTAATCAAAACCGAAAGTTTTAATCGATGTGACACAACAAGTATTCCATGCTCTATAAGCATGTTTTAATCCATAAATGAATTTCTTAATTTACACAACACATGCTCATTGTCACTTTTTATGAAACCATCTGGTTTTGCCATATAGATGCACTCATCAAGACTTCCATTAAGGAAAGTCGTCTTGACATCCATTTGCAAATCTCATAATCGTAATGAGCAGCAATGGATAAGAGATTCCTAATGGATTTAAGCATGGCTACTGGCGAAAAGGTTTCCTTATAATCAATCCCTTCTTTATGAGTAAACCCTTTTGCAACAAGCCTGGCTTTAGAAGTTTGCACTTTTCCATCCGCTCCTCTCTTTTTCTTATTGATCCATCTCCATCCAACGGGTTTGACTCCAGTAGGTAGTTCTACAAGGTCCCAGACTTGATTGGAGCACATGGACTCAATTTCAGATTTTATAGCAACAACCCATTTCTCAGCGTCTAAATCCTGTAATGCGACGTCGTAATTTAGAGGTTCTGTATTAGTCTCTTCAGGGATTCTATCATAAAATTCTCCCAATAGCACAAATCAGAGAGGTTTTTTAATAATTCTCCCACTACGACTAGTCACTACAGGTGCAATTTGATTTTTTTGTTGAACCACAATATCATTTTTTGGAACTGAAGCAACAATGTTATCCTCCACGCCTTGCGGTGCTGGGATATCATTAACTTCTTTCTAGAGTGCAGGCTGCACAACAATTTCAGGTTGCTCAACAATCTGAGGTTGCTCAATATTACTCCCACTACTTGGGGACAGTGAGATGTCAGGCAATTATTCTTGTGCGTTCTGCTGCCTATTGACATTTCTCCCACTATGATAATGCAATGGTATGTCAATACTGACTTTCGGGATACGTTCTAGAGATGAGTCATTAGTTACTCCATTGCTTAATTCCTGTAAAACTAGTTTACTTCTAGGAATATGGTTCATCAAACAATCCTCTTCTAAAAATCTGGCATTTGTCGTAACTATTACCTTCTTTTCTTTGGGACAATAAAATAAACCTCCTTTCATTCCCTTTGGATATCCAATAAAAATTCACACTTCTGTCCTCGATTCCAATTTATCCGCTTTCCTTTTAGTACATGTGCTGGACAACTCTAAACCCGAATGTGCCGTAAACTGGGCTTGCGCCTAGTCCATAATTCTGCTGGGGTTAAAGGTACTGACTTTAAAGGAACCGAATTCAGAATGTAATTTGTTGTTTCTACAGCATATCCCTAAAAGGAAGAAGGTAAATCGGAATAACTTAACATTGATCTAACCATTTCTTCTTTCTGCCACACATTTTGTTGTGGTGTTTCTAGGGAAGATAATTGAGATGTATTTTCACAATCAGATAAGTATTTAATGAATTCCGCAGAAAGGTATTCACCACAACGATTTGATCGCAATGTTTTGATATGTTTATCATGTCGTTTCTCCGTTTTCGTCTTAAATTCTTTGAATTTTTCAAAGTATTCAGACTTACGGCATAACAGATAAATGTATCCATATTTTGAGCAATCATTGTGAAAGTCACAAAATACTCAAAACCACCTCTTGATTGTATATTCATAGGGCCACACAAATCAGAGTGAATTAATTCTAACTTATTGCTAGCTCTATTTCCTTTAAAGGAAAAATGTCTCTTGGTTATTTTACCTTCTAAACAGGATTCACATATTGGCAGTGCCTCCACTTTCAATGAACTCAAAGGTCCATCTGAAACCAACCTCGAAATCCTATTTAGATTTATATGACCTAGATGTGAGTGGCACATCAATATATTCGTTAAAATAACAGAATAAACAAGTCATTTTCCAAGGTTTCCAACCATTTAAAGTTCATGGAAACAACCTTTCCAAAACAGTCCATTAAGAACAATAACATCTCAAACTATTTCAAGTCTTCTCTTGTAGTATCTTGCTCAAATAATGCAACTAACATACAAAAAACTTCAAGCACATGTAGTAGAGTATTATACATACCTAAACCAGTAGAAACCACTTGAAGTTTCAGTCAAACACAACCCACAACTATCCTCAATGACAACACAACTTCAAAGAGGTGTTGTTCTTTACTAGAACTAACTATTGATGGTGAAATATGGTGTAATCACTTAGTTCTCCTTCAAACCCTTATGGTATCTGTTTAGGAGGGTTAGGAGGAGTTTGGAGACGAGGTTGAGTCGAAAATTAGCAAAAACAAGGCATCCAAATCGTTTTCAAAGTGAAGTAGGTCGACGATCGCCTAAGTGGGTCCCATTAAGAGCTGCTTGCACGGTCTCACAAAAATACAACTATATCTCTACTCTGATATCGTATCGACAAACGGTTTAATGAGTTAGAAACTAGACTCATAGATCTTCAATTTGATATATGGATCATTGTGTAATTCTAAGTATATTAAGAGAAAAGCTATGCTACATTTGACCTAATTTTCAGCGCATTATGAATGTAACTTGTGATGACCTTTGCCAACTTTTGTTCCACAACTCTCTTGACTTCAAAACGTAACACCCGACTATTATAAGACTACAATAACTCATAACATAACCTACTTATCATATTAATAACCCTAGTCTCACCCCAAAATACAGGTTATAACATTCCAAACTTATCGACTTTCGACGAAACTTATTTTTCGTGTAGATTCTAAGCCTTCCAACTCTCTTGGTACTTGGTATTCGTGATCTTAAATATTTGTAACCTCCACGGTAATATGATTAACTTACTTTATAAATTTTTCAAAGATGATCTCATTTCTGAGCTTACATCAATTGACTTACGACGTACTCTTACGTATAAAAATATGGGGTGTAACATCATTCCCCCCTTTGGAACATTCGTCCTCGAATATTGACTAATACGCTTATCAGTCTCATAACCTATAGCTCTTACAAATACTTTACTACTGTCCTTTCTATCTATGTAACTATTCTGTGAATAATTCAAAAGGCCAAGGTATTCCCCCTTTTAGGACTCTTTCTCACACCATGATTTATGGTCAAAATTATTCCAATCTCGTAACTATTGCTACTTTATGTCATGCAGCCTGTACAACTCTGTCCTTATATTCACGCCTATGCGACTCTTATCTCCTTTTTTCTCCAGCTTTTATCCAATCTTTAGGCCTCACTTTGTGAACATATACAGAAATATGACAAGCTGTCCCTCTGGAATCTATAAGTGTACTAAAGTTCTTTGCTCGGTACTTTGTCGAACTTACGACTATTGATATATCTTGTTTCATAGCCTCGATTATCTATGCTTATGGATTACTACAACTAGGTAGGTCATACTATACCATAACTCTTACTTCGGTTTATTAGTATCGAGGTTTGCTACCCAACTCCTCTCTCGCTTCTTATCCTATATGTATGTCCTTTAATGCTTCCTCATTAATGTTCATCTTAATAATGACGACCTAATCTCATCTCATACTGTTGTTTTATACTTTAATGCCACATAAGAGGGAGGTGATTTGTGTGGTGTCCAATTTTCGCGTGCACTGATTATAAAAGGACCTGGTTCTTCTATGTGTTCCTTATACTACTGTTGCAGAAATAGTAAATGCGGAAAGTAAAGAACACAAGTATTTTTACATGGAAAACACCCGGCTCAAAAGGTGAAAAAACCACGACCTACTACTCAGTAGGATTTTCTCCAACACTTCACTAAATCACGGAGCCAAAACAGCATTTACAAAACTCTTTGTAAACCTAAGGATTATCTCTAATCCTGTTGTAGCAACCAACTTCTAACTGTTGCGACAACTTTAAGTTAACTCTAACTTGAATACTCAGAGTACCTAATACAATTGCTTCTAGATAAAGTTGAAAGGTACCACTTGAAAAGCCCTACTATAATTGAACTAGAATAAAAGACAGACACTTGGAACTGGTTCTTCTATCTAGTTGATGTAGCTTCAGGTTCGCACACCTGAATCACACAAGAATTGTTTGCAAAATGCCTTGCTATTTTGCTCTCAATTCACGTTTAACTTCAGCTTTTGTGCGTACCTGTAGAGTGAGAACATCCTGCAATTTATAGGGTTATTAGAATAGGAATAACTAGAGTTCTAATGCTACTCTTCCTTGGTGGAAGAGTTCTAGTTATCTTCAACTTCTAACTCCACATTTATCTTGGATAAAGTTCTCTTCGAGTAAGGAGTCCTTCTCCTTATCATTTATGCAACCTTTTTGTTCAGGAGATATTAGATATAACAACTTAATCTTATCTCCTTCACGTGCACCCCTTATGCTCGAATCGGCCCGTGTCTATGTACACTGCGTATGGACCTGGTTAATGCTCGAGTTCCTTTTTCAATCATCAAAACAAACTTCAATTGGGCCAACACATACTTTGTAACTTTTATCCATCCATTATTGATTCACCTTAATGTTGATCAATAATCTACAAATTATAACTTGAAACCTCTTATGTAATACATTGTCACTAGGGCTCACGTTGCATCGGGGAATATCTGAAGTGATTTGCCTTATCCACCTAGAGACGATACTATACTTCAATAACCATATTTCATAGCATCCGAACATGATTCATCTTATGGGGGTATTCTAATCCTGTGCAATTCATGAAATCCCTTATCTTAAAATCATTACTCAACCAAAGGCCTAAGCATCATCCTCTTATCTATCACAATTACACCCTTATTCTACTACCAGGGAAGCATTACATCTCTTCTAGATATACCTAGTCTTTGACTCCTCCGAGTTCATTCAGTCTATACTGAGCTTTCTATAACTTACAGAAACCATCAGCTCTCTTGTTTTGATAGGTTTAATCCCGAGGACTTACCTATTCTCTTCAGCTTCTCACTCACCTAAAACCTTGTCGCTCTGCGATACTTTATCTTGCGACCTACACATATCTATTTATACTTCTCACAACCATCATTTAACTTGCTAGCACCATAAATTTCCTTTCGTGCCTTCTCAGTTGTCTTTAAATGTAAACAATTACTTTTCCTTGTCGTTCTTCCACTTGTTGCATGAATACTTGGCTTATCTTATTGCTCACGAATACTGGAATTCCTTGTAACTCATATGATCTCAAATATCATCTTTGATTTTTTTCGTTCATTAGCCACGATAGGTGCCACTTTCTTATGGAGTGTATACAATATTGTAGTGAGACTGTTGTTACAAGACAATTTCTTCTTTAAGTGACTATGCTTAGGTTAAAGCATTTTTCCTTATTTCCTTAGCTAGTCTTTAGTTGTAGTACTTAGGGGAGACCCTCTGACTCTTGTAAAGCTGCAAGCTTATTACATCGTATACCCAATGGAAATTTTGATGTTCTTGCTCACCTATAATTATCCCTAGTAACATACCTCCGTGTCCTTGTGCTCGTAGGGTTGCTTCTGAACTGAAATTTTTGACTGTCTTCCCAGTGGCACTCTCTTTTAGTTTCGTAACACATATATGGTACCTTTAAATACACCAACTCCTATATAAATATTCCTCAAAGGCTACAATGTCATATCTGCGAGACTGGATTCACTATGCTGGGGTTCACTACATTTATCTTATACGATTTGCTGATTTATCTCTATCTTCTTGTCTAGCCATAACTATATTCCGCGTAATCTCTCTTGGGTTATTTTATTTGTTTTAACTTACCTCCCGCACTGGCTCTTTATGTATCAAGTGTTCATTCGCATTTATTTATCAATAACATCCTGGGCGAGAACCCTTACTGCCTCTCTCCGGCATCGTGCTTACATAATGTTCTAGAGTTGTATCAAACCGAAGGGCCGCGACAGGCACCTGGTGCCTAACTCAGTCTAGTACCAATGCAACGTATCCTTCTTATCATACTATCAGGGGTAAATTATTCGGAAAGGACGTCATGAGATAACCAGGATAAAACATAAGGGACTACTCGACATATGACAACCCAACATGAAATACAAACTTATACATGTAACATACGGGCCTATATGATCGAAATGATCATTTGTACACTCAAAACATAGGTCGAAAAGGCCATACAGTCATCCATATATATGACATATGTCTACAAGCCTTTAAGAGTACATAAACATCATAAAGGCCAAGACAGGGCCCCGCCATACCAATCTATATATGTCCAAAGCATACTGACCAAATAGGTAACTCTGGAGCAAATGGAGTGCACCAACACCTTCCGCTGAGCTGATAGCCTACTAGGAGGACTGTCAACCTGTCTATCGGGACGTGCGGGCATGAAACGCAACGTCCCCAAGCAAAATGGACGTCAGTATAAATAAAGTACCGAGTATGTAAGGCATGAAAAGAAGTATATAAAAGACATAAAAGAAACATGGGGTAAATAACTCAACCTGTAAGTCTGAATAGCTCTGTGAATCATGAAACATTTATAATGGCATGCATATTCGTATAAATGTCATATCATGCATATGTATATGCTTACATAACATCATTAAGCCTCTGAGGGCATCCCATCATATCATCTAGGCCTCTATGGGCG